ATTTTGAAAGTACTGGCATTTCTTCTCCTAAGCAGAAGAAAAGAGCTTCCCCCCAGGTATCCAGGAAAAGGTCCACTCTCAGGCCTTTTTGGATTTTCCTTTACTGTTGTTAGTCCTGGATGCTGCCAGATCTCTCTCTCTCAGGATGGAGAATCCTTTGTTTTGGATTAGGGTTAAGACAGTTTGAAAAAGTAATCTCTAGAAGGAAAGACTTCTTGTGTCACTGAAACTTTGAAATCTCCTGAATTCCCCTTTAAAAACACTGTCGCCCCCAGAGATCTGTTCCTCCTTACTGCATACCTCTAAATGAATTTACCACACTCTTGAGGAAATCTACTAATCTGTTAGGATTTCACACAGTGAAATTAATTGAAGTCAGTAAATCATATTGAATTTGGAATCCTATTAAATTCTGGTGACTGTGCCAGAAAGCAGTCACATTTGCCATAGTGTGTCCTGGGATGATTTGAATGCGAATATATTGGGCTGCTCTCCCTTCCCATCTCAGTGCCTCCTATACATCATTGTTATTTTATTAGTAGTAGTAATAGAATATGTTATGCTTCAAGGGTGAGCTGTACCTTTGACCCCTCACTCCATCTCTTTGTAGACAACGCTTCCAAATGACAGGCCAAGGCCTATACTTCTCTTAGGGTGGAATCCCACAATCCAGCTCACTGCTAGACAGGGTCCCCTGGTCACAGCATCCCAATTCACTAACCATGTGTCCTCAGCAGGGCCAGCTGGGTTTTGGCCCCTGCTATAGACTTCCCTCTGGGAGCCTGTGACCAGTATGAAAGTGAAGTGACAGAATAGCCTCTTCAAAACAAAGTACCCATTTGCATGTTGAAATTAAAGGACACTTGCTGGACAAATTTCCTTTCCCTGATTTTGGTTTTCAGGCCTATTCTAGCAAAGGTTAAATAAAATGGACCAAATTCTGCTCTTGCTTACAGGTATGCTAACTTGCTTCAGTCCACTGGGACCATTCTCTTCTTCTAGCCCACAAACTAGTTTCAGCATTGAGTGACTCCGAGCAACATAAGCGCTCTCTTTGGGCCCCAGTAACTGGAAGTGCACAGTTGTCTGACTCCGATAGTAGGGTGTGTGTTCTAGCCCTTTCTTTGGTTTGCTGTACCCATGTGGCAGCTTAGCTACAGGATGGTGTTAGGGAAAAATGTCATGATCTAGGCTGTAACCCAGTTCCACAATGTGGTTTTATAACTCTGTTGTCCCATTCACACTAGAAATAATAAAACCATATTAGAAATATAACATACAACTGTGGGCTGGTGCAGTTAGAGATTTGTGTAGAAGAGTGCTATGCCAAACTCAGTACTGGAGAGTAGCAAGCAAATAACTGGTTCACTTTATTTTACTAATTTTTATTTCTATAGAATCTTATAGATTCTAGGACTGGAAGGGACCTCGAGAGGTCATCGAGTCCAGTCCCCTGCCCGCATGGCAGGACCAAATACTGTCTAGACCATCCCTGATAGACATTTATCTAACCTACTCTTAAATATCTCCAGAGATGGAGATTCCACAACCTCCCTAGGCAGTTTATTCCAGTGTTTAACCACCCTGACAGTTAGGAACTTTTTCCTAATGTCCAACCTAAACCTCCCTTGCTGCAGTTTAAGCCCATTGCTTCTTGTTCTATCCTTAGAGGCTAAGGTGAACAAGTTTTCTCCCTCCTCCTTATGATACCCTTTTAGATACCTGAAAACTGCTATCATGTCCCCTCTCAGTCTTCTCTTTTCCAAACTAAACAAACCCAATTCTTTCAACCTTCCTTCATAGGTCATGTTCTCAAGACCTTTAATCATTCTTGTTGCTCTTCTCTGGACCCTCTCCAATTTCTCCACATCTTTCTTGAAATGCGGTGCCCAGAACTGGACACAATACTCAAGTTGAGGCCTAACCAGCCCAGAGTAGAGCGGAAGAATGACTTCTCGTGTCTTGCTCACAACACACCTGTTAATACATCCCAGAATCATGTTTGCTTTTTTTGCAACAGCATCACACTGTTGACTCATATTTAGCTTGTGGTCAACTATAACCCCTAGATCCCTTTCTGCTGTACTCCTTCCTAGACAGTCTCTTCCCATTCTGTATGGGTGAAACTGATTGTTCCTTCCTAAGTGGAGCACTTTGCATTTGTCTTTGTTAAACTTCATCCTGTTTACCTCAGACCATTTCTCCAATTTGTCCAGATCATTTTGAATTATGACCCTGTCCTCCAAAGCAGTTGCAATCCCTCCCAGTTTGGTATCATCCGCAAACTTAATATGTCAATATCTAAGTCGTTAATGAAGATATTGAACAGAGCCGGTCCCAAAACAGACCCCTGCGGAACCCCACTTGTTACGACTTTCCAGCAGGATTGGGAACCATTAATAACAACTCTCTGAGTACGGTTATCCAGCCAGTTATGCACCCACCTTATAGTAGCCCCATCTAAATTGTATTTGCCTAGTTTATCGATAAGAATATCATGCAAGACCGTATCAAATGCCTTACTAAAGTCTAGGTATACCACATCCACAGCTTCTCCCTTATCCACAAGGCTCGTTATCCTATCAAAGAAAGCTATCAGATTGGTTTGACACGATTTGTTCTTTACAAATCCATGCTGGCTATTCCCTATCACCTTACCACCTTCCAAGTGTTTGCAGATGATTTCCTTAATTACTTGCTCCATTATCTTCCCTGGCACAGAAGTTAAACTAACTGGTCTGTAGTTTCCTGGGTTGTTTAATTCCCTTTTTATAGATGGGCACTATATTTGCCCTTTGCCAGTCTTCTGGAATCTCTCCCGTCTCCCATGATTTTCCAAAGATAATAGCTAGAGGCTCAGATACCTCCTCTATTAGCTCCTTGAGTATTCTAGGATGCATTTCATCAGGCGCTGGTGACTTGCAGGCATCTAACTTTTCTAAGTGATTTTTAACTTGTTCTTTTTTTATTTTATCTGCTAAACCTACCCCCTTCCCATTAGCATTCACTAGGTTAGGCATTCCTTCAGACTTCTCGGTGAAGACTGAAACAAAGAAGTCATTAAGCATCTCTGCCATTTCCAAGTTTCCTGTTACTGTTTCTCCCTCTTCACTGAGCAATGGGCCTACCCTGTCTTTGGTCTTCCTCTTGCTTTTAATGTATTGATAAAAAGTCGTCTTGTTTCCCTTTATTCCCGTAGCTAATTTGAGCTCATTTTATGCCTTTGCCTTTCTAATCTTGCCCCTGCATTTCTGTGTTGTTTGCCTATATTCATCCTTTGTAATCTGTCCTAGTTTCCATTTTTTATATGACTCCTTTTTATTTTTTAGATCCTGCAAGATCTCGTGGTTAAGCCAAGGCGGTCTTTTGCCACATTTTCTGTCTTTCCTAACCAGCGGAATAGCTTGCTTTTGAGCCCTTAATAGTGTCCCTCTGAAAAACTGCCAGTTCTCCTCAGACGTTTTTCCCCTCGGTCTTGATTTTCATGGGACCTTACCTATCAGCTCTCTGAGCTTACCAAAATCCACCTTCCTGAAATCCATTGTCTCTATTTTGCTGTACTCCATTCTACCCTTCCTTAGAATTTCAAACTCTATGATTTCATGATCACTTTCACGCAAGCTGCCTTCTACTTTCAAATTCTCAATGAGTTCCTCCCTATTTGTTTAAAATCTTGCATCTTAAGATCTCAATAATTTTATAATGAATTTAGCTTTGGAGCAGCTCTGTGGGGAGAGAAGAAGTATGTTACTGAGGTAAAGAGACTTTAAGTCAAATTTTTCCTGAGGTTAATTTTTCCTGTGGTAGAGCCAGAAGCTGTGGCTCTCAGTCCTCTATTGTCTTAGCCACACACCTATTCTTCTTCAGAGCCAGTTTACAATTAGAGGATTGGGGGAAGGAGAGGTGTGGTTTGAGTAGCCTGAGCTTGTAATAAAGACCAGGATGGATTTTCAGATTTCCTAGGCAATAATCTGATTCCTTTGTCTGGGAAAACAACTTTGCCTTTGTGATTCTTGTTTTTAGTTACAGGGCTCCAAGGCTTTCAAAATAATGGTAGTAATTTAATAGGAATTGGGATGTGACTTTTCATCTTGTAAATGAGCTGTACTTGATTATTAATGACTGGAACACTGGGCTTGTAAATATCTTTATTTTATATTGCTTCTGCAGGGATTCTGTACGAATGTGGAGACCATATGAACCTCTGATTGGACCCCACCATTTCCTGTTGTATGAAGGAAGGTGCTTTGCCCCTGGGGAACAACTTCTGTAGGCTGACATGGCAATGATGAGATCCGACTTGGGCATTATGAAGATCCTTCGCTTGAAGAAGAGAGGCTGTTTTCTGCTGAAGCTTTTGTGTCTGGTTGTCTTGGCGTTAATCTTTTGTGAATTCTTAGTTTATTATGTGGTGATATTTCAGTGTCATTGGCCAGAAGTTAAAATAGAAGCTCACAGGAGCAGCAAACAGTCTTCGGCTTCTGTCTTGAAGGCCATGTTTTTATCTGATACCCACCTGCTTGGTGAAATCAAAGGGCATTGGCTAGACAAATTAAGAAGGTAAGAACTGAATTTAGGGAACATGCTGTAACCAATTTTTTAAAGCTTTTTTCAGCATCCATGTATAAGCAGTAGCAAATGTAGTGGCATTTGGGGCAAGTAGCCACTCCGGCTTCTGACTTGCTTATCTGAATTTCGGGGGAAGAAAATAATGGAGGGTTAGGGAATTAGACTGTGTCTCATCAGTGCAGTGTCTGACAGACCCAAGTAGCTAGTATTGCTGTTGTATTGTGCTGCCATAAGCTTCTGAGTGCATTGTCTGGCTCAGAGAATCCTTTTTTTCAGTTTATAATAATACTTATAAATTATACAGTGCTTTACAAAAATGAAGTAGTTAATCTCCACAACACCCCTGCTAGTCAGTAATAGTATCCCCGTTTACAGGGTGTGGGAATTGATAGTAACTCGTCCAGTGTCACACTGAGGGCCATGACTAAAATCAAGCTCTCCCAACCCCATGCCTAATCCACTAAACCACATTGCTTCCCTCTGGTAATCCATAGAGAAGCAGAACTTTTGAAGGAAAGTATCCATTTTTCCATGGCAGGAGCTATGTGACTGAGTGGCATCAAACCCAATCTCTACTGAACATTCTTTTATCTTTTAATAACCATAAATGTATTTAAAGGAAGAATTGAGGAGAGTGAGCTCAAGCCCTGATAATAGACTTGGGTGAGTGAGGTGGGAGTCCCCCTTGCTCCACCCTCCTGAGAGAGAGAGAAACGGTGAATGCTTTTAGATGTAGTGTCCCTTCCTATGTGAGCTTGCATTGTCCAATTGTCCATTGCAGAAACTATCAGAAGCCTGCATCCCAAAAAAGGGGAAAAAATTCATAGGAGTTGTAGACCAAGCTGGATGAACAAGCATCTCAGAGAGGTGATTAAGAAAAAGCAGAAAGCCTACAAGGAATGGAAGATGGGAGGGATCAGCAAGGAAAGCTACCTTATTGAGGTCAGAACATGTAGGGATAAAGTGAGAGAGGCCAAAAGCCATGTAGAGTTGAACCTTGCAAAGGGAATTAAAACCAATAGTAAAAGGTTCTGTAGCCATATAAATAAGAAGAAAACAAAGAAAGAAGTGGGACCGCTAAACACTGAGGATGGAGTGGAGGTTAAGGATAATCTAGGCATGGCCCAATGTCTAAACAAATAATTTGACTCAGTCTTTAATGAGGCTAATGAGGAGCTTAGGGATAATGGCAGGATGACAAATGGGAATGAGGCTATGGAGGTAAATATTACCATATCCGAGGTAGAAGCCGAACTCGAACAGCTTAATGGTACTAAATCAGGGGGCCCAGATAATCTTCATCCAAGAATATTAAAGGAACTGGCACATGAAATTGCAAGCCCATTAGCAAGAATTTTTAATGAATCTGTAAACTCAGGGGTTGTACCATAGAGAATTGCTAACGTAGTTCTTATTTTTAAGAAAGGAAAAAAAAGTGATCCGGGTAACTACAGGCCTGTTAGTTTGACATCTGTAGTATGCAAGGTCTGAGGAAAAAATTTGAAGGAGAAAGTAGTTAAGGACATTGAGGTCAATGGTAATTGGGACAAAATACAACATGGTTTTATAAAAGGTAGCTCATGCCAAACCAACCTGATCTCCTTCTTTGAGAAGGTAACAGATTTTTTAGACAAAGGAAACGCAGTGGATCTAATTTACCTCGATTTCATTAAGGCATTTGATATGGTTCCACATGGGAAATTATTAGTTAAATTGGAAAAGATCGGGACCAATATGAAAATTGAAAGGTGGATAAGGAACTGGTTAAAGGGGAGACTACAACGGGTCATACTGAAAGGTGAACTGTCAGGCTGGAAGGAGGTTACTAGTGGAGTTCCTCAGGGATTGGTTTTGGGACCAATCTTATTTAATCTTTTTATTACTGACCTTGCACACAAAGTGGGAGTGTGCTAATAAAGCTTGCGGATGACACAAAGCTGGGAGGTATTGCCAATACAGAGAAGGACCGGGATATCATACAGGAAGATCTGGATGACCTTGTAAACTGGAGTAATAGTAATAGGATGAAATTTAATAGTGAAAAGTGCAAGGTCATGCATTTAGGGATTAATAACAAGAGTTTTTGTTATAAGCTGGGGACTCATCAGTTGGAAGTAACAGAGGAGAAGAAAGACCTCAGAGTATTGGTTGATCACAGGATGACTATGAGCCGCCAATGTGATATGGCCATTAAAAAAGCTAATGCGGTCTTGGGATGAATTAGGTAAGGTATTTTCAGTAGAGATAAGGAGGTGTTAGTACCGTTATACAAGGCACTGGTGAGACCTCATCTGGAATACTGTGTGCAGTTCTGGTCTCCCATGTTTAAGAAGGATGAATTCAAACTGGAACAGGTACAGAGAAGGGCTACTAGGATGATCCGAGGACTGGAAAACCTGTCTTATGAAAGGAGACTCAAAGAGCGTGGCTTGTTTAGCCTAACCAAAAGAAGGCTGAGGGGAGATATGATTGCTTTTTATAAATACATTAGAGGGATAAATACCAGGGAGGGAGATGAATTATTTAAGCTCAGTACCAATGTGGACACAAGAACAAATGGATATAAACTGGCCATCAGGAAGTTTAGACTTGAAATTAAACGAAGGTTTCTAACCATCAGAGAAGTGAAGTTCTGGAACAGCCTTCCAAGGGGAGTAGTGGGGTCAAAAGACATATCTGGCTTCAAGACTAAGCTTGATAAGTTTATGGAGGGGATGGTATGATGGGATAGCCTAATTTTGGCAATTAGTTGATCTTTGACTATTAGTGGTAGATATGCCCAATGGCCTGTGATGGGATGTTAGATGGGGTGGGATCTGAGTTACTACAGAGAATTCTTTCCTGGGTGTCTGGCTGGTGAGTCTTATCCACATGCTCAGGGTTTAGCTGATCGCCATTTTGGGGGTCGGGAAGGAATTTTCTTCCAGGGCAGATTGGCAGAGGCCCTGGGGTTTTTTCGCTTTCCTCTGCAGCGTGGGGTACGTGTCACTTGCTGGAGGATTCTCTGCACCTTGAAGTCTTTAAACCATGGTTTGAGGACTTCAGTGGCTCAGACATAGGTTAGGGGTTTGTTGCGGGAGTGGGTGGGTGAGATTCTGTGGCCTGCGTTGTGCAGGAGGTCAGACTAGATGATCATAATGGTTCCTTCTGACTTAAAGTCTGTTCATCTAATTAGATGAATTGATAAAGACTTCCTTATTTTTTTACTTCAGCATTGGAAAATTTCATGTGATATTAAGACATCCTATAACACTTTCAGTTATGCGCTCAACCTAGAGAAAAAGCTATTACTAACTAATATGAACTACTAAATACAGGTAGTTATTACATATCGGTATAGGACAGGGATCACATGATATAGTAGTGTAAGTCTAGAATATTTCTGCCAAATTCACTGGTGTTACGTTTATAATCCAGAGCAGAATCTGGCTTATTCTGTGTCCCAGCAGAAACCTTGCTCAGATCACTGCAGGATGAAATTTACTAAAGGAAGACATCCGTAGGGGACTCAAAACAGTGGCTTGATCTTGTATAGCAAAGTTGCTGGCTTACCTATGCACACTAGTGTCAGCTCTATCAACTACCATTTTGACACAATTCATTATAAAGTTTTAACAAAATGGAAATTTGTTACCCAAGTCTAGCAAATAGCAGTATAGTAGTTTACTCATTTTAAATTGGTTTATCTGGAGGTCTAATCTGTGTCATTGGTTAGATTTGTAATGATGATTCAATATCCAGCGTGGGGGTTTGTTCTGAGCAATCAAAACCTTTTGCTGCAGGAACAGATGCATTCGGTCAAGTGTGTGCGATTATTCAACATACTTCCACTGATCAGTTTTTACATACTTTGAAAATAACCCATTAACTTGCGATAAAAGGTTAGTATCAGCACTTTGTCTGGTGTCCCATGAGCTGGTGCTGATCATGGTTTTTGATGTGGGGGAGAGCAGGGAGGTAGCCCAGGAGCTGGTGTTAAACCTGACTTTTTTTAAAATCTAGCTGGGTTTCAGAGTAGCTCTTTCAGTCTTTGAGAGTCTGCTTCACTGTCCTGTCAGGCACAACCTTGTTTAATCAGAGTAAAGGATCAGGCAGTTAAGAGAGTCTATTGATTTGATGCTTCCTGTTTCTTAGGGAATGGCAAATGGAGAGAGCCTTCCAAACTGCCTTGTCATTACTGGAGCCAGATATTGTTTTCATCCTAGGAGACGTCTTTGATGAAGGAAAGTGGAGCTCCTCCCAGGTAAAAGGTCCACATCTACTGATTTTTAGTGTCAGAAAATGCTGAACTGCTTTAAAAGAAATGGGGTTTCCTGGAAATAAGTGGCATGCAGAGCAAGCCAGGCTTTATTTGATTTTCCTCTTCCACAATTGATGTACTGCAGATTTGTAGGCCGTGACTATAATTTCTAGTGTAGTGTGACATAGTCACTGCAAGGCAGTGTGAGTGGAGGGTATATGTGGGCACAAATAAGATCAGGCAGTAGGCATAGTCTTTTGCATTGAGTTGGTCTCCAGCGCCCTACAGTGCAAGGTTAAGAGGAGGTGAATGTGCATGGCTGGGGAGATACGAGTTAAATGTGATCCTCCTCATGCTTATGAAGTATTGAGGCTGTGAAAAGGGGATTAGGTAGATTTCTCCTTCTTTTAGGAGTGGTGCTTCCTAACGATAATCTGGGGAGTAGTATGGAAAAGAGGTAACATTTATAAACGTTTGTGGCCACCACTATGATGCTAGGTGTAAACACTGACAGGCTATTAGCATGAGTGGCCAACAGTCCAAACTTTAAAATGGCAAATGACTAACCCAGCCTTTTACTTTAAAAGGCATTATTGGCCTTCTGAAACCCAAAGAAGTGCATTGCCTAGTGTAATAAAGCTGTTGGCAAATGAATTTTGCAAATATAAACAAGGGAATCAGTCAGGCCTGTGCATTACTGGGTATTAGTGTTTGGGGCTCTGACCTTCCTGATAGCTGGTCAGAAAGTTCTATTTGTGTCCTGTATTCTAAAGCCAGTTCATTGTTGTTGCAATATTAATGACACTAATAGCTGTTTTAATATTGTCCATATTCCAGTCTTAGAAGATATACAGTGGATGCTGCTCTCGTCTTGGTAGTGGTAGTTTCCAGTGGGTTGACTACAAACTGAAATTTGGTGATTCTCCCTGGACTTGATTTTTCCAATAGCTTCTTTCTCCTCTCCCCAAGCCAAACACATAAAACATGAAAATCTCAAGGTGACAGCCTACTGCTAAGTCCTTTCATAGTTGTCTTCAACATCAGCAGTTTTTACAATTTTCCTGCAGGCTTGGGCAGATGATGTCAGGCGGTTTCAGAAAATGTTCCGACATCCAGTTCGCACTGAGCTAATGGTTGTTGTTGGCAACCATGACATTGGCTTTCACTACGAGTAAGTATTTCAGAAAAATTCAGTGCACTGTCAGGTATGAAATGTCAGGATGTAAATAGTGACTCAGTATTGCCAGCCTCAAGAGATCAAATAACATCAGATTGGCCCCAAAGTCAAATGTTGTTTTTTAGTCTGACTTTTGACTTTAACGCCTCTCTACTCCTCTGCCGATGTGTGTGTGAGAGACTTTCAGGTTGAAGGGTCAACCTTTAATACACGCTTCTTTCTGGCTGCTCAGATGGAGCTCCCACTTCCTCTCCCTCAGCCCCTAAGGTAGGGCAGCTGCCATCCATTTCCTATTACTGTCTTACTTTCTCTCCTGCTGGATGAGGGCTATACAATGGAACTGGAAAATGAACATCCAAGAAACACAAAGTACTCTTCTTATTTATCGAGTCCTCCTATTAAGGATTTATGTGAGCGGAAAGATCTTTACATGTACGAATGTCTTTACAGCATCTCCCACCTAGCTAATTACTGCAAAACCCCATGCAGAGCTATCTGTATCTCAGTGCAGTAATTATAAAGACAATCCTTATTTTTTTAAATAATTCACATTGAAAGCATTTCAAAAATAATTTTAAAATCAGACTTTGTTTGCATAACTGTGATCAGCTACATTAATAGATCAATTATCCAATAATTTACAATAAGTTCACCTTGGATTTGTCTGCCCTGGACCTGGCAGCACCTGTTCTCTGACTCCTCTGCCCCCTCCCCTTCCCCCGGGAGGAGTGGCTGCTGTGTAGCTTTTTCCTGACTCCTTCCCTCCACCTACATCTCAAGCACTGACCTGGCACTGGGTTTGTGTGTACTTGGAGAAAAGCTGCTGCTGGGTCCGCAGCAGAGCAAGTACTGGGGTGGGGTTGGGTGTAATGCTGTTGGGCCCCAGACTCAACAGTAGCTTTTTCCTGACTCCTTCTCTCCACCTACATCTTTCTCTGTGCCCTGCTGTCCCAGGACCCTCTCTCTGCTACCACTGAGATAGCGCCAATCCATACATGAAGGCAGGGCTCAGTGGCAAGGGCAGATCTGTTTTTCTCAGTTCCAGAGGCTCTCACTTGAGCTCTGCCTGCGTGACCAGCCCTGAAAATTGTGTGAAAGGAGTGGCTGCTTGGGTCTTTGTGAGAGTACCTCCTGTAGGTATCAAAATCCCATGACTCACCATTAATTCACAGGATTTGGCAGTACTGAATAACTTGGCTTCCATGTGAGTCAGGGTTTTTTTTTATTATCTAGGGCTTTTGTCTTCAAGCATCAGTTAAGAGGGGCTGGGTTGCATGTTTAGAGCCAGACCTTGGATGTAGCTCATGTGCACAGAGTGAGAGTTAGGAGTGCCCTGTAAAGGTGGCTTCAAGGTCACATCATGGTCAAGCTGCTGCTATAACTCACGCTGTGCTGTAGTGACCTAAAAATGCAGCCAAGGTATTGTGGGTATTCTGCCCCATTCCCTACTCTCTCAGCATCAGAGAGGGTGATTTGCATCTGTTGTATTTCACTTTGTGCTTGTATTGGGGGTAATTCTCCCTGGCTTGGTTATGCTTGCTCTGGGGCCAGAATAGACTGAGAGAGGCTGTATCCATCCCATGCAGAATCTCAGTTTTAAGGTCTAATCTGGATCATGGAGCAGTACCTGTTAGGGAATTGCCATTTAAATCTGTAACACAACTATATAAAATTACTTATAATGGCAAGTTTCTGAGCATCATACTACTTTTGTCTTTTAAACACAGAATGACCACTTACAAGTTAAAACGGTTTGCAAAAGTTTTCAACTTCACCTCAGGAAAGCTAATAACCCGGAAGGGGGTAAAGTGAGTATAATGTTTGCCAACATTTTGAGCTTTTTCATTGGTTTTTTTTTTTTAACTTATTTTCTTGAACCCGTTGTAGCGTGTTCTCGTGAATATTTGTTAAACATAAAACATTATTTACTCCCAAGAAACTTGTTTGTAAATACTGTAAAGCTGTGGTCTCCAATCTTTTTATGCACAAGATCACTTTTTGAATTGAAGATCAACCCAGGATCTGCCCCGCCCCACTCACTCCATTTCTCCCTCCCTCCGTTGCTTTCGCTGCCCCACCCTCACTCACTTTCACCGGCCTGGGGCAGGAGGTTGGGATGCGGGAGGGGTTCGGATTGTGGGAGGGGGCTCCGGGCTGAGCCTGGGGCAGGGGGTTGGGGTGCAAGCTCTGGGAGGGAGTTTGAGTGCAGGGCTCATATGGTTACACTGCACCTAATCTCATAGAATCTACTGGACATTTCATGAGTTTTACTTTTTATTAGTGTCATTTTGTGGTTTATAAATCCAAAATCCTTCATGGACTGTCACAAATCAGTGTAACATTCTCAACTGTGGGGTGTGCATTGGCTGAGCCTGGGGCAAGGGGTTGGGGTGCAGGAGAGGGTGAGGGGTGTGGGCTTTGGGAGGGAGTTTGGTGCAGGAGGGGGCTTCGGGCTGGGGTGCAGGAGGGGGTAAGGGCTGTGGGCTTTGGGAGCGAGTTTGGGTGCAGGAGGGGGTTCCGGGTTGTGGTGCAGGAGGGGGTGCAAGGTGCAGGCTTCGGCCAGGAGGTGCTTACCACAGATGGCTCCTGGTTGGCAGCGCAGTGGGGCTCAGGCAGGCTGGCTGCTGGCACATCTCTGCGGCCCCTAGGGGCGAGGGGGACAGCGGGTCTCTGTGCAGTTCCCGACCAATGGGAGCTGCAGGGACGATGCTGGGGGTGGGGGCTGTGTGCGGAGCTGCCCTCCCTGCCCCTCTCCCCGGGGGCCACAGCGATGTGTCAGCAGCCAGCCTGAGCCCCGCTGTGCTGCCGGACTTTTAGTGGTTGGAGATCGCAATCGACTGGCAGAGGCTCCAGGATTGACCAATTGATTGCGATCAATTGGTTGGTGACCACTGCTGTAAAGGGAGCTATTTTGAGCAAAATAGAAAGAAAACAATTCAAAGGATTTAATGGCTGTCATATGTGCTCCCGAGCACAAGAACAGATTTGTGGGGTTTGTGTTCTTTTGCTTCCAACCACTTACGGTGACCACTGGCTGCCAATCTTAAATGTTGAACATTTCACTCAACCACTTTCCTCATTTAAGTATTAACACCAGTGGAATGTCCTCGCTTCTTCAGTGCTTGAAACTCATGCCTTGTTTGTGGAACATGGTAACACAGCACCTGGTCCTGCCACCCTTATTCACATGAGTGACCTCAGCAGAGCTTGGCCCACAATGCGTCTGTTATCTTATTGCCAAGCTTGTTCCCTCCTTTAATTTTATCAGTTGGTTAGAGAAACTGTTGATAGCTCAGTAAATATTTCTATATTTGCTGAGCATGTCCCTGTGTCCTGTGTGCACATACCGTGTAAGGAAGTGCAGTGGGTCCACTGAAAGACATCTTATCAGAATTTTTTTTCAGATAAAGTGAAGGGAAATACATTGTACTCATCTACACTCTGACATGTATATGGTCAGAATATAATAATTCACAAGAATGTAGGAAATAAAGGCTACAAATGTATCACTTAATTTTTTTTTAAACATTAAGCAAGTATTCTAAACAGGCTGGAAGTGCTATATCCCCCTGGAAAGAAAGAAAAAGTGTGCTTCGTGCAGGCTTATGAGAAAATAGACCCCCCTATTTAATACAACCATGTATTACTCAAGTCTGTGACCCTAAACACACATTTCAGCTAACATTTTAAAAATAGTCATTAAACAGGGACTAACATCCTCTCCTTACTCCAGACTGTGTGTATAGTACTCAATTGACCATCTGCTCGTTGAAATGAGTTTGCCTTATTAATACTGCTCGGTAAATGTGTTCTAGAACACTAGTACAACAAGTAGCTATTTAGTGAAAAATGTTGGCTGCAATTTAAGATCTGCTTTTTGCCAGCAACCCTTCCATGATGGAATCTAGCTCACTTTTGTATATAAGCACACCACTGTTCCCTCCTCCTGCATGCTGAGCTGTGAATATGTCCTTTCTCTGTCAGCTAGCGGGCTGTCCTTCTAATATAAAAATAAGTGCCTGTTTATACTTGTGACAGGTAAGAGCCTAGTAGCAAGAAACATTCAGTTTATTTAAAAGCTACAACGAAGGTAGAGTTAGGTTTAAGTACAGTGAAAGCTTCCCTACCCTGCTTTGCCAGAGACCCATGGTTAAGTGAGAGACACTTCTCTTTAGGTGTGAATCAGACTAAGGGCTTGCCTACACAGTGCCAGAAGGATGTGTGTTGTGCTCTAATTGCCCTGCTTCTTGCACACGCTACAGGGCATGTTTTACAAATCACACCCCACCGGTGCACTTTGCTGGCAACCTGTAGACAAGGTCCAGGTTCATTTGTGGGGCCTTCCCTGGGCAGAGGCTGCCAAATGCAGTATAGCTTTGCTTTAACATTGCTCACAAGGCCTCTCTGGCTTCTGAGATACAAGTGCCAAAGCAACTTCTCACCTTCAGATTTCAATGTTATGGATTATTGCATTGCAAGAGGATATAATTTTAAACAATGCCTCACAAATTGTGTGGACATCAGATTCATCACAGCATCTAAACTTTGCTATGCAACCCAACTGACTAGATTAGTGTCTAACAATAAAACAGGTGATCATGGAAAGCTGTGGTAGAATGCAGTATCAGTATTTGAGAAGTATGGCTAGTGTAGCCATTCTCAAACTGTGGGTTGGGACCCCAAAGTGAACAGGGTTGCCAGGGCTGGCTTAGACTTGCTGGGGCCCAGGGCTGAAGCCCGAGCCCCACCACCCAGGGCCGAAGCCAAAGCCCTAGGGCTTCAGCCCTGCGTGGCGAGGCTCAGGTTGCAGGCCCTCCCCTGGGGGGGCTGAAGCCCTTGAGCTTCAGCTTTGGCCCCCCTGTCCAGAGCAGTGGGGCTTGGGCAGGCTCAGGCTTCGGTCCCCTCTCCTGGGGCCGTGAAGTAATTTTTGTTGTTGGAAGGGGGTCGCAGTGCAATAAAGTTTGAGAACCCCTGGTCTAGTGTGTGGCCTAGGCACAGTCGTTACTGAATTTAGTTCGTACACTTTGAGTTTTTTATCTGAATTATGAACTTGTTTGCTTTTTTTTTTTTTTTTTTTAAACAAGGGCTTCATCTCTCACCACTAGTGTCTGGAGACCTAACAGTTGTCCTTTCCCCTATTCCCTCTCTGTTCTCCCCCAGTTTTGTCATGGTGAACAGTGTTGCCCTGGAAGGTGATGGGTGCACTGTCTGCAGCAGGGCAGAGGCAAAGCTCATGAAGCTTTCTCATAAACTGAATTGCTCCCAACAGGTAAGAGTCCAATAGTCCGTTCACTGTAACTGCAGAGTTGGAGTTGCAGATATAGTCCGGCTGGAAGTCAGATTCTTCTCCTTTGAAAAATCTCAGTCTCTAGTTTGTGTTTTGTCCTTCCTCACATAGTGCTCTGGCCTTGTCTCCTTGATCATTCTTACCTCCATATTCAGGGTGGATTTCAGTGTGCATGTTGCTGACTCCCTCTGCCCCGGTCTTTCTGCTAACTTCAGAAAGACCGGGGCACGGGTCTTTTACCTCCTATAATCTTGTCCGGTCTGTGATCTCTGTCAGCAAAATCCTGTAGCCCTTTTCTCTGCCACATGTAATATCACTTACTCTGGTCTCTGCTCTTGTAAGGGAGCCTGCATAGTCTAATGGATAGGCAGTCTGGAGACCTGGATTTTGTTCCTCACTTTGCCACTGACCTGCAAGTCACTTCATCTCAGTTTCCCCATCTGTAAAATTGTTAATGGTTATTCTCCTTTGTAAAGCACTCGAGATCTAAGTATTATTCTTACATGGACAGGGCCTTTTTCTATCTACCTTTTGCCTGTCATGTCTCCTCCTAACCTGAACTCTCATGCTGCTTTTCAAATGTATTCTTTTTAAACACTCCTCCGTCTTGACCAAATTAATTTGTGAATTTACCTTAACTTCCGTCCACTACATCAATAAAATTTCTCTTAAGTAAAAAGAGTATCAAACCACCCCATTTCCTCATTCCCTTCTTAATGGAAACCTTTGTATCCTTGATGGTGAATTTTACTTTCATCCCATATCTCCTGGATCTGCAGACTTGCATGTTGCCATTATCTGTCCAGCGCGGTCTCTGAATACTACTAATTTGATTCCCACCGCTGCTGAAATCTTCAAGCATGCTTTCATATCCTCTTGCCTTCTCTATAGCTATTCCAGTTTTCTATGGTTCAGCATGTTCTGTAAAGTGTTGCTGCCACCTTCTGATATATACAGAGAGAGTGCAATTGCATCCATGACATCCTCGAACAATTTCACTAGCTCCTTGTTCATTAAAGTCCAGTTCTAAATTGGCAGTCTTGATTTTTAAAACACTTCATGAACTTGCTTCAGGCTTCTGTTCACGTAGTTCCATCCTCTTCTCTATACCTTCACAATCTGCTCTCTGTGAGATGTGCTCTGAATCACCTGCCATTTGGAACAGACGTCCTACACAGCACCAGCTCTCTTCAAATCATTCCCATCATACAGCTTTTCTCCCTTACCTATACCTCTTAATTTCTATCCTCTGATTTTACTCTGTAAGGCCTCATATGATTAGTTTCTCTGGTAGACACTGTAAACAAGTACTTTTGCAATAATCCTTATACAATGCTAGTGTTTTTTTTTTTTTTTTTTGAGGAAAATATCTTACATGGTCTTCAAGTTTGCATTTCTGTCCTGGCCCTCCAAGCACATAATAAATACAGAACTAGTGCTGCACAGACACGATTATGTTTGTCTGGCTTGATTTTATTAGCAGGAACAGAATCATTCCAACAAAAGGTGCAGTGGTGTGGAACAGCTTCCAGCTTCAGAACCAATCCTTTTACAGGTGTGTTGGAGATTAGGTGGGCAGGATTTCACCATATTTATCAACATTTTATAAAAGGCTGCATTAGCTAACAACTGGCTCTTGCTTTGAATCCCTGTCAGCATTACCCTCTTTACAGAAGAAGTGACGCTGAATGTACTGGAGAAGATTCTGCTCTTCCAGAGGAAAAGAACATCCCATTTAAAGAAAAGTATGATGTACTTTCTAGAGAGGCTTCACAAAAGGTTTGGTAATTTAACAACTTTATTTAATATCACAGTAACTTTACAGCGCTTCCTGAAATCCTTAATTATGTATATAATATTGGAAAAAGCAAATGCTAGCTGAGATAAGCTCCTCCTGGTTTAGTGAGGCCTGGGGGAGACTGCTGATAGACCTGCTGGGCTCTACATGGTAAGTCCAGGGAGACACAGTCTGCTGCAGAGCATTTATCCTCAGTGTAGCATTTTGTACTATATGTAAAGTTTTAGAGTATATGGGTTACCCATTTTTAGTAGGACTAATAGAAAAAGTCAGTGATCTTGTCCAGTGCTCTAAAAACATTACTTTCACTGAATTACTGATGATAAACAGAACATTCCCAATAGATTAAATGGGCAACAGAGATTTTTTCCTACAGCAGAAATGTATATGCTCAAGTTTGAGGGCAGATCACCTCCAAATCAGTGCTACTCTTCATTTAAGACCCAGGTTTTCTATTTGTGCTAAAGACTTGATACTGAGTGTTGTTCAAATTCATAAGCAATTTACCTACTATAGTAAAATGTTACAAAATACCACCCTGTTTTTATGACAAAGGTCAAATAGGGTGATTTACTATTAAAATATGACTATTGTATTAGTGGAAGACACGAGGATTTCACAAAATACTCTGCAAAAATAGTAGCCCAAGTAAAAATATGGAAGGAGAGCCCGTTGGAAGCAAAACTAGATATTAAACTGTGTGATGACTTTAAACAAATTCAAATTAACCTTTCATGTTTGTAATTTTGTACTGTTTCCAATATAGCTGTTATGGTGGTTTCATCCCCGTTTGATTCTGAGTGGCCATACCCACAGTGCATGTGAAGTGTTGCATAATGGGAAGATTCCAGAAATCAGTGTCCCATCATTTAGTTGGAGGAACAGAAACAACCCTAGTTTCATCATGGTAAATTTAAAGATTTTTATTTTTGTCAGGTAACTTTCATAAATATAAATCAACATGGCAATCAGCTATTTATTAAACTGCTGCTACCTGTTTGTTTTGTTTAAAAAGGCAGAACACCCACTCTCCCTCAAAACCCAACATTTACTTAATACACTGCATCCACTTTATAAAGCACATCAGGGGAGCCACACAGGTTGTGTGGTACGAGGAAGTGCTGTTAAAGGTCTAGTTTGTATATTCGTAAAAACCATGTGTAACAGAGTTTCTTATAAAGAGGGTGCAGGGTAAACTATTGACTTGTAAAAAAAAAATCATCAGTACCATGCACCGAACAGTAAAAAGGCTAGTTTTGCTTAGCTGATTTATCTACTATGAAAATAAGACCATATCTATCTCAGATTTCTACATGGCTTTCTTGCCTGTCAGACTCACCTATTAACCACTTCAGAGAGGGCAAGTTTTCATTTGTCTTCTGATAATCTGCCTCATTAGTTTCAATTCACATGTTTTCTAATTTCACTTAGAATGTTGGTTAAGCTCCATCAGATAGTTCCAATCTTCTTTATTATGTACCACGTAGAGATGGAGAAAACAACCAGTTCTACAATAATTCAAGCTTTTGAAAAGTTCTGTTTTAAATAGCAAAACCTACAATCAGTTTTTTTTACTTTTCAGCATCTTGTGACATGGGGAAAAGAAACTCAAATCTCATTACTCTTTGGTTTACACTCTTTAGTCCATAGACAACACCACCAAGTCCCTTCTCAATCCATGTATTTTATTTAACTGTTGGCATGTTTCTTTTGCTAAGTAGTCCTGCTTTTACCAGCTGCTACCTATCCAATCAAGTGCTTGTGCCTATTCTATTTTCCTTAAAGTGGTTGCTATCAAACCATGCACATTACCTTTGCAACATGTCTAGTCTCCAGTGCTATAGGGTGTGGACTGACTGCATGGCATTGGTACTATATTAGTCCAGGTTCTGCAACCTAATGTAGAACTTAAACATCACAGCTGTTTTTGATGTAGACTCACTAAACCTATACCCAACCACATGATGGTCTTTCTTTCTTTTTCAGGGCAGCATAACACCAACCGACTTCTCCCTCTACAAGTGTTTCCTTCCACTTGAGAGCAGAGTTGTTACTATATACTGTATAGCAGGGGCTCTACTCGGGGTACTGATACTAGCTCATCTTCAACTTCTCAATCCACCTTTTTATTTTGCTCAGCACTTAATCAGGAAGCATAAAGCAGTATGAAGAGCCAGACAGCTGCATTCAGTCACTGAAATACCAAAGCTGAGAACAGTCAAACATCAGACTATATTCATGCCAGCAAATGACCTAATTGGATTGTTAATCCGAAGGCAGGTCGCATTTACACATACCATAGAAATCCTACACAGTTGATATGACTACTACAGGATAAATAATTAACTGAAATGAACTGTTTTCATGCTGTACAAAAATACAGTATTCTACAATCAAATGAGTCCATTTCCTTGCTATAATTTTTGTATCAAATATGTATACTAAAAGTTTGTAACTGTACATTATGTAAATCCTACAGCCTCTGCACTAGAATGTCCTACCTGGGAGGAGGCATAGTCTTTCAAGCTGGAACCATCACTGTATGTTTTATTGCTACATGCCCTTCTAATGTGATACTTCTGTTTCTTAATGTCAGCAGGAGATAGATACATCAGTGGATTTCCTTAGCATTCCTAAGCTGTCACACACAAAAAACTGTTGTTTGGGAGAAATCCCTGCTGCGTTAGTAGTTGTAGATTGTAATCCCCTGTCTGCCAGACCATCTTTCCACCCCTCCAGGGTCTACTTGCCAAAACACTTCAGCCCTTCCAAAAATTTGGGTGGAACCTCTCACGCTGCTCTTTTTAATAAAATGTGCTATGATAATCTTAAACTACAGGGCCCTATTGCACCCTATAGGTCAATGTGGAGAGGTTTTCCCCAACAAAGGAGGTCAGATACTGCTGCAGTAACATTTTCCCATAGTTTCATGGTGGAGGACCAGGTGCACATTATGCCCCTGTAGGATTCCAAAAGAATGTTAACAAAACTTGGTTATATTAATGCAGAGCCAGCTTTGGGCTGTAATGTCAACTTTAATGGAGTTTTGGGGATTGCTTTGTAGGGGAAAGCTGTAGCAGCAGAGCTCCATTGGAGCCACAGCAATCCTCAGAGCTGGCGTAGTTGAGGCTCTCTGCCTCTGGGTCGCTAGATTGCAAAAATCTAGAAGCCAGAATCCCTGCTGCTTTATGGGGACAGGATAGACAAATACAATTACAAGAAAAACCATAAGGAACCGTTTGCCTTTTGGTGCTCCTGCAGAGGCAGGGGTTTTTAGTCTACAGGGGTGGTTTGTTTTGCCTACCTTACCTTTCAAGTGGGAATGAGTAATAAAAGAAAGTTTGCATGTTTCTAAAATAATTTTGGAAGGGGAGGTGTGAGAATCTATGCATAACCGGCAGTGGTAGATTTAGGGAATTATACCTATTACTAGCTAACCCCTGCCTTTCACTTTCTAGGAAATACATAACTGAATTGCAAATATAGAAATATCAAGACTATACATCCTACTAGCAATTTCACTTGGAAGGATAATCTTACAAAGATACTGTACTGTCTCTAAAATTATCCTATTTTAAAATAAAATTACTAAATTTCTCTAATTTAATTTTAAGTAAAAGAGGACTGGGTTTATAAATAACATGAATCATGGCTGTATTATAAAAATCTGATTCATATTGTGTTCCTGAAAACAAAAATTCAGATCTTAATTTGTCCCTAAAATTTAAAACAAAGGATGGAGATAGTCCAAGGAGTGATTAAACAATCTATGAAGTAATGTAGGCTAACACTTCTCTAGGTTTCTGTTATTGCAACTGTAATTTTAGACATTTGTACAGGTTATCTTGGACACAGGAAAAGTATATACTCACAGAGACATAAAACACCTATGTATAAAATATAAAGCAGTGTTATAGTTACTAAAAAGGACATGCCTTATTGCTACAGCAATTCTTGCTTTTTATATATTGTACTGTACCACAACTTGTTTTGAGAATGTCATTTGCATAAATTATTCAAGTTTGAGAAATATTCACACAGTTTGATTCTACAATATTTAAAATAAAACAATTTTCTAATGTCTCTTTATTAAAAGAGAAATAAAAATGTCATCTTGTAATTCTCTTAGGCCAGACACAAGGGTTTATACCTCCTCTTCCCCCCCACCCCCCTTCTTGCTATTTACTTGCACAATGAAAGCTGCTGTTGGTACAAAGATTGACGAGCTCTATATAATGGTGCTTTACACATTCACAATCGGCCTGTGCAATTGTGACGTACTATGAATGACCAAAGAATTACTAAACATATTTCTAAAGTTAAAGGAAAAAAAATCCTTGATTCCCATTAAAACAACACCAGGTTGCAATTTGGACACTTGAATGAATTCCAATGTTTTAAAGCTGAGATTTCAAAAGAGAAAGGCATGTTGCTGCAACATCCGGTGACTGTAATACCTTACTTGAAAAGGTAAGTGGTTAATTTGCATAATTTATATTTTTTATACTAAAGAGCATTGTTTTTATATAAACCAGAAAAAAATCCCTAAACTCTACAGATAAAGTTCTTACCTCCAGTCTCTGCTGCAGGTAAGGTTGACATCAAGCTGTACAGCGCAATCAAAAACATACTTACATCTTAGCTCATTTTACAGGTACAGCCATAATCAAGGCACAAAGATCTTCTACAAGTATTTTTCTTCAATAAAGTTGTACAAAATAATATTACATTTTACAGTCTGTACAATATAATAAACCAGCAGTAAAACAAAAAAATATATATATAGGGAGAGGACTGTTGTCCAAGAATGATCTAAACTAAACGGATCATTTGTGGACAGAACAAATAACGTAAGTGAGGGTGGTACATTTTCTGCCTAGATGCAACAGGCTGAAAAAGTAGCTATAATTCAAATGCCTGAGGTGTGTAGAGGCACTTAGCCCCAAAACCCCAGAAAAATTGCTTATCTTCACCATGCCTCTCATTATCTACTCTACTTCCTGTGCCAGTAACGGCTTAAAAGAGGAGGTCACTTTATCAGTTGACCTGCAACTCAATAATGCTAAAAACTGTGACAGAGTAATAAATATTGTGGTGCTGCTACATTGTGTGTATACTTCCTCAACAGTATTTAATAACCTGATACAAAGTGCATTATTCTTTTTTCAACCATCAAGTACTCTTAATATCATGTTAAAAAAGGGACCCACACAAGGATAGGTATGACTTTAGTGTCATCCAGCTGACATACTAGTTTGAACTAACATAACCTGCTGGAAAAAATTTAGCAGGTTATGTTCAATTAGCAAAAACAAAACCCAAAAAACAAAATACACCTCTAAAGCAACAGAGGTAGCCAAAGGGCTTAGTGGAATGACAAAGAAGTGGCATATCAAAATAAAGCACACAAATAGTCCCAAAAAGCATGGCGGAAAAGAAACCCAAACTTGCTGCAAACCAGCTCAAAGGCTAAATAATTAAGGTAAACAACCTGAAAAGACTGACATTTCTGTAGTATTTTCTTCCACCCTGTGTGGCATAGTATAGAGAGAGAGCAAGAGAGTAAGGAGCTAAGTATTTAAAACCACAGGCTCCACGGTGATCCCAATCACAAGAGTTCATACTGGCGAAGATGCATTCTCTGAATGATGTCTCGACAATCGTTGAACACTCTGCGGATGTTTTCTGTGTCCACTGCACATGTGAAATGTGGGTAGCAGTAATGCCTGCCATCTCCACTTGCTGTACTTATCCTCTGCAGAAAAGGAAGAGAACATATTGAAGACTGATTGCTCAGGGGTCTGTCAGCTCATTACAGGGGAATTACATCCCAAACATGTGCCCACTTGTAAGATTAGCTGTTTGGAGAGCAAGAGCCCAGTTTTCAGCACTGCCAGTTTGACTATCCAAATGCAAATGCTGGATGTGCCTATGCCTTCCAAAGATATGCCTGTGTTTTCATACGATACACACTGAAGAAATGTATTAAGTAGGTTAGATTATAATCAAACATGCATATAAACACATTTAGCCCTTTAACAGGTCAGCTGCTGGCAATCTAGTGAAAAAGCCCCCGTTTAAGTTGACTTTCAATTCTTAGATACTCATGTTAAGAAGTTTTATAACCCAGGCCACTTCAACTGCTTTAGGCAGTAGCAGATTAGATAGCCATTTAGGAGCCTTGCCTGTGGATCTAGAGGCGTTGTTCAGTGATTAGACATAGAAAACCCAAGGTTAGACAAAGAAAATGATATATAAGTGGGGTCTGTGAAGACAGATAGCAATGCCTGGGTATCTTTAAGCTACAATACCTTGCTCTTGCACTTCAGATGAAATTATATCAAAAAAATTTTTTTTTAAAAAATGCTCCATTTCTTGCCCACAAGCCTAGGTAGCTTTACATTCTCTGAAGCAGCAAATCATGGGATTCTAAGAGGGCTTGTTTTAACAGCCTTACTGACTGAGCATGTGAAAAATCTCATAGTTTATGAAGTTTTACATTATACAGATCCTTTGACTTGGACATTTATGTTTAGACATGCTAGAAGCTACTACTTTTCAGCATCTATGTATATGTAAGATAGAACCTTTCACTCCTAGGTCAATAGTTCAAATTATTATTGTTAAGCACCAACCCTGTGATCAGCCCCATATGAACACAGAGGAATCCTGGACTGGTTTTAAAGCTTAGATGACTGAACTGGTCCTGTCTGACAGTTAATAGAACTCACTGCCAGCTAACAGCTGCAGTCAATACTGGCTGGTTTTATAGTATGGGCCATCTACTAGGTGCTAGACTACGACCATCACAATTGGTACTCTGGTTGACACTCAGCAAGAGAGACCAGGGAGTGAATGGGCATGAAAACTAAGCTACACTTTCCCCCTAAAAGTTACATCTACAGAACATCAAAAGGCTAGCGTGGGGAAATTTGCATTCCCTGTGACAACTAGCAAGGGGAGTGGCTCACAATCCATCCCACTACCACTGCCCCTAGAGACCAAAATACTCCCGTTTTGCACTAGGAAACAAGAGACCCAGGAATGAGATCAGAGGGTAACTTTAAAGAATAATCATTTCAACTCATGGTATATTTTAATGTTACTATATGCAAAATAATCATGCGCTACCAGGAGACCTAATTAGTATTTCCAATTTATGAGTTGGGTAAACCAGGTAAAATATAAACAGAAAGTTTTAACAGAATATTAAGCACAGTATTATAAGGTTAAAATACCATTGAATACCCAGTATAACTGCATGAAGGGTATCTTGTAAGAGCTGCTATGTTATATATTATATGTACATACTCATATATAACCTGTACTGTTAATAACCAAATACTGCATTCTGTAATGCATCTGTCCCAGGAATTATTTTTCTTTTTTGGTGCCACCAAGTGGCAATACTGTGAAATTTTGTTTTAAATCAGCAATGTAGCTTGTCTACATGAATATACAGTATGCATCAAGCTGGGGTGTGAACACTAGCTTGCTGTGGAGTTGCTGTGTGCATCATACATGTCATGTACAGCTTTATGATAATAACAAAGAACAGAACTCATCCCTCCTACTTCAAAAGCACGGGGCCCTGCTATTTGAGCGACAGAGAATCTCCATTAGCTGCTTATCATACACAGCCAATTTCTGATTCCACCAAGTGAAGTACAAAGTAGCCAGTTCACCACAATGTTTTGGTGATGCTCAGTTACATTTGAGACTCTACAGCAGCATGTTAAAATATGTGTTTTCAAAATGTGGTCTTTTTTGTGCCCTAGCAGTTAAGCAACCATATAATTTTAGGAGATTATCCATCTACTGAATTTTCAACTCCAAACTTATTCTGAGGAGTCATATTAGACTTATATTAAGAGACGTGAGTGCCAGCTCAAGGAAAAATACACACCTCTATAATAACATTTAGCAGAAGAACCATTACTATACTAGAATACAAGAAAAATATTGAAGTTGGATCCCTATAATTATGAACAGGTCAAGATTACTAAGAACACAACAGATTCTTCTGAAAGGAGCTAAATAGAGTATTCTTGGAATGCAGGTCAATATATTCAGACAGTAGCTGCTTCAAGTCCAAGAAAAAATTATTCAGATTTTTCAAAATAAAAACCAGAATAAACCAGGTTTGCCCCGCTGCTGTTTCTGTAGGGCTGACCCATTGTACTGAAGTAAAACATCAGCAGTTGCAGAATCCTGTATACAAAACATCACTATTTGTTTTGGGAGAATTGTAAAGAATAGATGAATGCTGGGTTCAACATTGTGAGGAGGAAGGATAGTCTTGTGATTAAGCACAGGACTAGGAGCCTGGAGAGTTTCCTATGAAACAGAGACCTTGTGAAATAGGAGACACTGCCATGAACTAGACATGTGACATGACCTGACCTGGCAAGGAAAAAAAAAATGTGCTGAGGCAAAGAGCTGAATTGCCAGCCTTGTCTTGGTGAGCCAGACAAACAGCTCTTCCTGCCATACCTAGCTAATGCTTTCATAAATTGGAAACCAATGGCGTAGTTTTCACAGGTACTGAATACCTGCAACTTGAAGTCAAGGGGGCTTTCAGATAGTTAGCACTTCTGAAAATGAGAGCGAGAAAATGAAATGCCTACCTTCTGATACTTTTTAGCAATATTAGTCAGAGGTGTGTTTAAATATAAACACCTTTTCTTAACTAGTCTGTGTTAAACCTGTGTTTAATTAAGAAAATCATCTGAAATAGAATTGGTGGCTGCAGTCCGGGTCAGCAGAGGGAGAGTTTTGAGAGTTGCAGCGTGCCAGGTACAGTTACAGAGGGCTATAAGACGACATGACTTTCACAGGCTACCAAAGCACCATTCCTAAAGCGTCTTGTGCAGCAGTAGCAGGGGGCTGATGTACCAGACCCGTGAACATGACTATAGGCTACCAAAATTACAATAAAGAATGGGTAAGTAATAAAGGCAGATTTTCCAGGAAATGTAACAGAGCAGAACAAGAAAAAAAATACAGACCATAAAGAATTGGAAAGAAAAATGTAACAAAGGTAGTGAGATGAAAAACTCCTTCACTTTTTGAAGCATAAAACGTTCAAGGTTTCTCTTTCTAATTTCCTTCAGAACAGTATTTAAAATGTAAAGTAAAATAACTACTTCAGTCTTACTCGCCTGTTGCCATTGGCAGTGGCACAGTGCAACGCCTTAGGAATATTTTTACTAGAAAAACTTTCACTTCAGCCGGCTGACATTTTAAATATCCACATAAGTGTCTGGATTCCCCCATTTTCTTTTAGACTGAATAATGGAAAGAACAGATGTGTGAAAATTATCTGCCATGAACTCAAGGTGAGATTCTGTGCAGTGCTTCCACGGGGAGGGGAGGTTTAGGCTCATGTTAGCACCCTTGAAATCCTGGGTAGCTCCAGGTATAACCGGCCCTGGGGGCCTGTCTAAATTAAGGAAGCTACTCAGGCCTGCCAGGAATCTCTGCAGCACCATGTGCTCTGCTCCCACCCCAGGCACAACCATTACATCAAGACTTGTCAGGCGGACCTCAGAAGGCAGCCTTAAAGCTGTCTTCAGATGTGGCTAAACAGGGGGAATCCTCCTCTGGCCAGAGAGGGGACATTTAGGCCCCTTCATGCTGTTCTGGCTCTTTTATGCCAGGTAAAGGGGCCAAAGCTGGGACGAGAATCTCACACTTCAGCCACCTGACTGGGGTGCTGAAACTGATGTATGGGTCACACGACAGAGGGAACTGAAACCTTATGTAAGAGCAAAATCTGTGCTTGGCTGGGGGAACAAATATTTGATAAAGGGCTCTTCGATCTAGCAGACAGAGGTCTAACACCGTCGTATGGCTGGGAGTTGAAGCTAGACAAATTCAGACTGGAGATAAGGGGTAAGTTTTTAACTGTGAGGGTGATTAACCATTGGAACAACTTACCAGCAGGATTTCTCAACCCTTAGGGTGTGACCCAAAATTGGGTAGCCAGAATATTTCAAAGGGTCATGGAGCTGGCTGGTCTCAGTGCCCCGCTCTGGGCGTTGAAACCTGGTGCATAGGGTCACAATGCTTGCAATGGGGAGCTGAGCCCAGCCAGCTCCACAGGACAGGAGCCAGGAAGGAGAGGATGGTGTCATGTTCTCTGGTAAGTACCAGCCCCCGGATGTACCCTCTGCCCCACAGCCTGGCAACATCTCCTCTATCCTACCACCCATCCTGGCCCCCAGGTCCCCAAATTTTCTTCCCTTGCCCCCCCCAGTGCCTCTAATTTACCTATAGCACCGCAAATTCCCCCTTTACACTTGGCCCACCCTGGGCTGTGTGTTTTCCGAGAGCTAATGGACTGCCACCCCTCTCCCATACACCTCTGCCCCATACCCTTTCTCCAGCCTCCTGCTGCCCCTAATTCCTTCTCCAGCTTCCGTAGACCCCCTAACTCCTTCCTCCTCACTACACCCTAAGTCCCCTGATCTCTCCACTTCACCTCCAGGCCCCAAATCCCCCATTACTCTCTGCCATCCATGGGCCATGGGGAGGAGCTGCGTGTTTTTGGGCATGGTCTAGCCTCACCACCCTTTCCACCAGTTGCAAGTGGGGCATACTCCCAGCTGTTCACATCTGGCCAGAGCATCTGGAATCTTAGCTCCAAGCCCTTCCCGATGGGCCCCTCAGGGCGGATGGGGGCATCAGGTCTGGGAGTGACTCAGGGGGTCAGGCCATCAAGCGACTCTCAGGCCATCAAGGTTTACAAATGGTTCCTGAGCCCCAAGATGTTGAGAACCACTGGACTAATGATCACAGTGATCCCCTCTGGCCTTGGAATCTATGAATCTCTCTCACCAGCTGAACATCTCAAGTTGCAGTGGGGGAGGTTTAGGTTGGATATTAGGAAAAACTTTTTCACTAGGAGGGTGGTGAAGCACTGGAATGGGTTACCTAGGGAGGTGGTGGAATCTCCTTCCTTAGAGGTTTTTAAGGTCAGGCTTGACAAAGCCCTGGCTGGGATGATTTAGTTGGGGATTGGTCCTGCTTTGAGCAGGCGGTTGGACTACATGCTCTCCTGAGGTCCCTTCCAACCCTGATATTCTAGGATTCCATGATCACTAAGAAAACAGAAGAACTGCAGGAGGGGCCTACCCGCCTGATACACGGGCTGGGCCTTAATGCTCACTAGAAGTGATTCAGGAGAGAGAATGTGTAGGTGTTTGTTGTTTTATCCCCAGATCTGTAACTCTTGTGTGCTTTCAGAGTAAAAGTTACTGTGTTTTCTGAAACTCCTGTGCAAGCCTGTGTTCCTTACTTTACCTGCCAGGTGTCCCCGAAGAGTTAAACTATAATGCAGAGTGCTGCTGGAGGGGACTTTGGTGGGGGAGCATGCATATTTGACTGGAGAACTCAGAGAACTGGTTTCAGGGGCCTAGGGCAACTAGACTGTGGGTCCCACATCCCAAGTAACGGGGCCCAGATGGGAGGTGGGTGCCTCGGAGGCCCAGAGTTAGAAACAAGTCACTTGTCGCTGCCCAGACCCAGCTGGCTTGGAAGCATGTGGGATCCAAAGGTTTGATCCAATTACAACAGACTGTTGACTGTCTACTAGGGGGATTCAGACAGGTCTATAACTAGGGCCCTATCAAATTCACGGTCCATTTTGGTCAATTTCACAGTCATACGATTTTAAAAATCATAAATTTCATTATTTCAGCTATTTAAATCTAAAACTTCACAGTATTGTAATTGTGGGGTCCTGACCCAAAATGGAGTTGTGGGGCGGTTACAAGGTTATTGTAGGGGGGGTTTGCAGTACTGCTACCCTTACTTCTGCACTGCTATACTAGCGCTGCCTTCAGAGCTGGGCAGCTGGAGAGCGGCAGCTGCTGGCCGGGAGCCCAGCTTTGAAGGCAGAGCCACCACCAGCAGCAGCAGCACAGAAGGAAAAATGGCATGGTATGGTATGGTATGGTATTGCCATCCTTACTTCTGCGCTGGACCCTGAGTCAGCAGCCGCCACTCTCTGGCCACCCCTTCAGAGTTAGGCGCCTGGCCAACAGCCACCGCTCTCTAGCTGCCCAGTTCTGAAATCAGCACAGAAGTAAGGGTGGCAATACCGCAACCCCCTAAAATAACCTGTGACCCCCACCCTGAAACTCTCTTTTGGGTCAGGACCCCCAATTTGATAAATGCTGGTCTCCCCTGTGAAATCTGTATAGTATAGGGTAAAAGCACACAAAAGACCAGATTTCACGGTCCGTGACATAGTTTTCATTGTCGTGAATTTGGTAGAGCCCTATCTATAACAAACCTGTCGCTAAGCGTAGGAGCTGACCTCAGTAACGGATTGTGAACCCCATACAGGCCACGCAGCCAGCACAGAGATGTGAATGAAATCTGCTACGCAACAAGAATAAGCTTTTATAGATAAATAAATCCTCAAAATAAATCACATAAATTAGAAGTGGAAGTGGTCCATATTACTGTGGCCATGTGCACAATGGAGAACGAAAGGAAAGAGGAAGGCAGTCTGGGTCCACAGTAGACTAAGTACCAGACTGGGTTTCAGGAGACTATTCCTGGTTCTGCCAATGACTCACTATGTGTCACTTGGCATCTTTGTGCCTTAGTTTCACCATTTATAAAATGGGCTTCACCTTTTTTCAGTGCTGTGAAATGTATGGCTGAAAAAAGCTATGAAAGAGCTAAGCATTTTTTCCCCACCCTATTTTTGCAAAAGTGACCATATTGTCAAGTATGTTTAATGAGAGTAACCTCCATGATACGACTAGATATAGGTTTTTAAAATTACTCACTAAAAACTCATCCCGGATAAAGAACTTGGCTCTTGTGACTTTGGGATCTTCTCCAGCATCTGGTGTTGCTGTTTAATTAAAAATAAATTGTATCAGATAAATTAAATAAATGAGAGCTATTTTGCATATTTAATAACAGATAGAATAAATAAGAGATAGTTCTTTGCTATAGGAATTAAAAAACAATATACCTACATTACATTCACAATTGGTTCTTCCAAAACGAAAAAACACTTTAAACCAGCGTTTCTCAGACTGGGATCTGGTCCACAAGGGCACTCCAGTTGGTCTGTGGGCCCTGCTGATCAACTTCTCCCCCACCCTCCCAGCACCTCCTGCACGCTGGGGAATAGCTGTTCCGTGGTGTGCAGGAGGTGCGGGGAGGGAGGAGGAGGAGCGGGGACAGGGCGCGCTCGGGGGCGGAATCATGTCCAGGGCCACCAGCCCCGCTGATCAACTGCTCCCCGTCCCTTCCAGTGCCTCCTGCATGCTGCGGAACAGCTGTTCCCCGGTGTGCAGCAGGCGCTGGGAGGGAGGGAGAGAAGCGGGGACAAGATGCGCTTGGGGGAAGGGGTGGAAAGAGGCACGGAAGAGGAGGGGCAGGAGTGGAGCGGGGGCGGGAAGGGGTGGGACCTTAGGGGAAGACGTGGAGTGGGGGCAGGGCCTGGGACTGAGCGGGAGGCTTGGGGGTCCACAAATTTTTTAAAATCAAAATGGGGGTCCTCAGGTTGCTAAAGTTTGAGAACCGCTGCTTTAACCCATCTTAAATAAACAAACTTCTATTTCACAAGTATCAGAGGGGTAGCCGTGTTAGTCTGAATCTGTAAAAAGCAACAGAGGGTCCTGTGGCACCTTTAAGACTAACAGAAGTATTGGGAG